TGGCAGACTCTGGACCCTGCTGCCACCCCCTGCTGGAAATAAACTTGCCAGAAAGCGAACATGACTGTCGACGTGAAGACCCTTGGACACAGGGTTGCCACACACACACACACACACACACGCACATACAAACACAGACACACAGACACACGCTCACACAGACACACAGACACACAGACACACAAACGCGCAGACACACACACACACACACACACACGCACACACACACACACACACACACACACCCGCGCGCGCGCCCACACACACGCACAAACTTAGTGTTACTTTGGCTTGGCACGGATAGCTGCGACCGAGGCCCGACAGGACAAGACGACGACAAAATGAAGTGCAGGTTGCAGCAACCGTACATGAGAAAAGACTCAAGCAAGAGCTGGCCAGCAGCTGGAGTAATGCAGATACGCCTTCACGTCCTTGCACTTGTGGTCTTCGTTGGCTGAGTCACGAGTGAAGGACGGGCATACTCCACATGTACAGCACACATGCCGTCGACATGAAGGAGGACGTGCGTTAAAGTTCATGATTTCTCGCCTCTTCTGCAGGCGAAGCTGATGCAGCTTCCGCTGGTTCCACCTTGAAGGCTCCCGTGTACTTCGAGGAAATATAAGAACAGAACCGGTCTGTACGCCTGCATCTAGGAAGAACCATTGTTCAAACTGCCAGCGTAAATCCCCAAACCGTGAAGGACCACACAGCGCTTCAACGAAGACACCACACCAGTACCACCACAACCACCAAGACGACCACGACCACCAGAACCATCAGGACTACAGGATACCACTAATTACCCACGACGACCCAAACCGACCACCGGAACGAGAGAGACAACGAGACTCACCACGACCAAGACGACCAAAACCACCAGGACCACCTCGACGACCCAAGACGACCACGACTGGCAGGACCGTCAGGGGACCACATGCACTGGTGGGATTAGCAGTCCACATGGACAACAAAAAGGGCTTATAGCCTGTCCCTGCTAGGACTGCTAGGATTTGAAGCACATGGAGCCTGTTGAGGGCACCACCCAAAACTGTTCCCCAATGTAGACATCTCGAGTCGTTTCGTGGTGTGTCGGAATGTGCAATGAATCACGCTTTTCGCGGAGGCCCGAGCCGCGCCTGGCGCGCACACCCGCCAATACCGATACCTCGACTCTCTATGCTGAACCTCAGAATCTCAATCGGTTACCAGGCACTATGCACACGTCGACAGATGTGAGGACTCGGGTCTCATGTCGAGCTCTGTTTCTGGGCAACTTTAAACTGTGTTAACTGGTTTATGTTTCTTTCGTGTTTCTGTTTGGAGGGGTTGGCGCTGGGTGGGGACAAACCACTACCAGGAGATCCAACGACGAGCAAACAGAAGCAGTTTCAACAGCATACGTATCTAAAGTTGCCGGCCTCGGCACAAAATCGTCGTGTTCTGGCAGTGCTGAATGAAGCCCGATCCGGTGCAATATGGCGGGGAGCCCGGGCCACGGATTGAGGAACAACTTCACAGCAACATATGCTTGATGGTCGTCGGCCTCGACTACCACAGGATTCTCCTCCGGGACAGTGGCAAACAGTCCTGCCAAGCTCTCGCCAATGCACACATGACATATACCTGCGCAGCGCGTGCACAGCCGAGAGCCGGATCCACCCCGAATCTGCCCGAATCCTCCTGTAGCTGCCCTAAACACGGTCTAGTTAAGTCATCTGGCTGACATCAAGTGACTGGAAACGCGCTTTCGGCACTTCAGTCTTATGACGGTGACAGCAACGAAAACTGCCTTTCCCTGCCTTTCCCTTCCCGTGTCGAATGCTGGTGAAGCTAGCAGCCCTCCAGCTGCTCATGCGGTAGCATGGCCTAGCAAGTTGCCAGTGTCGCTAAACATTGATTACTGATAAATGGCAAGTCTAGTTGCCCATCATGAACGTCTTCAGTGCTATGTTTCTCGCTATTCGGCGACAGCCAAGCCTGCTTGTCTCTTCTTAATGCTTAATTCCCCGACCTGCAGTCCTCCAGCCGAGCGCGCAGATGCCAGCTTGGTGGTCACATGTTCCAGGAACATCTCGGTGCCCTTCAAACAGCACACCATACCTCAAGGTTACGGAGCCTATGCAAAGGATGCTGTGGGCTAGGAAATCTGCACTTGCCAAAGAGATGTCTTCTTGGGTGTAGAGTCAGCATTTCACATTCTCGGTGGGGGAGCCTGGTGAAACAAATGCCTGCCTTCAAGCTGTCGGCTCAAGATCCTCCAAGAAGAGGACATGACGACTGGCGAGATGCCAGGCGACCTGCAACTTCTCAAGGAAGCCAAGGGGCTGCTCCCCACAACGTTCAGTAGCAGGTCGGTCGCAGAGGAAACTGGAGTGTCCTGCATCGAAGCCTGTGTCTCCTGCATCTTCTGGCTCAATTTGGCATTGTAAAGGGGATCGCTTCACTCAGAGCTCTATTGTCGGCAGAGTGTCGGGATGTGTCTGGGCATCACATGGCGTGCCAGAGAGGCTTCGGAGATTCGGGGTACAGGTTCGCGTATACATACATACATACATACAT